TAATGGGAATGGCGTGTGGCAGATGAATCAGATCTTTGAAACGTTATGCCGTTAAATTCCCCAGATTTGCACCAAGTCTGTTCTACCAGTGTAGGAGATGGCCGCCCACATCATCACACTACCACCACCAAATCTGTCCACTTCCTGTATGCAGTTTCGGGCATAACGTTCCCCGCGACGCCTGTAAACACGACGCCTCCCACACGCACGGCGAAGCATAAAACGTGACTCTTCACGAAACCAAACCTGTCTCCATCGCGATTGTGTCCATACTCCGCCCGTCAAAATGACACCTCGAACTGGTGGTCCAGCGCAAATACCGTCAGCGCGTAAACGGTTCCTCACTGTCTGGGCTGATATCCTACGCAATGCTGGTATTGTTGTAGTTGTAGAATTGGTCGTGGTGGTTCTTTCACGCAAGTGATGTAGCCGTATGAATCTGCCCAGTGCTTTAGTAGTGATATGAAATTTCATTCGGTTGAACAGAGTGAATTAGACTGAAATTGATTTCTCTTGAAGGTAAAGCCAGATATAAAGGGAGGTTATTCCCGGTAGAGGGCGCAACCGTGAGGGGTATATATAGGAATTGTAAAGCCCGGGTAGTTCAATCTCTCCTGTGGTGTCGCCGTTACAGTGCGGTCTGTTTATTTTATGTTTGTCCTGTGCGTTATGGTTATGAACATTTTCTGTTGTCAGGTGTTGGCAGTCTTGCTGCAAGACAAATGTCGTCACAGTGACGAGTATGGTTCTGAACCGCAAAGCATGGATGGTACCTGGTACATGCATGTATCTTACAGTAAGATGTTACAGTGTCGGTGACTGGCGTGGTTCTGAGATCATATGGATCAAGGCCAAGGACGCCACTGGTGTTTGTAAAAGAAAATTTCATGCAGAGTAAATGCCTCGGCGTGTGCCACTGGGGAAGCCAGATTGTGTGTTTGTTGTTTATATCTGGCTTGACGAGGTTTTGGAAGAGAAACGTGGTCGACCGGATCTGGGAAGGTCACGTGGTTTCCCGTGTGTCTGATAACAGTTCCACAGTCTTGTAATGGTACCTGGTGCTACGTGGAAATACCTGGCTACAGCTGAAGATGATTGTCCTGTTTGCAGTCGGCCGATGGCGTTGTTGCGTTGGGCTTACGTCAGTCTTGGCATGTTTTCGTTGTTCACTTACTTTAAGATTGTGATGACATGCAAATGAAAACCCAGCGTTTCAAAAAGCCCAACAAGTGATGTTGCACGTGCATGTCACGTTGGTGTGTTTCGGCGCCAGGCTCTCACGTAGTTGTGTTTTTGCGATTTTTCCATCTTTTCACCAAATTTCTGCAGTACCTCATTCTTTCCACTCAAAACAATTCCAATCTGTGCACCCTGAATGACCAATTCATTATTTTGTATTAATTTTGTATGAATGTCGGCAACGATTCTACTACCTTAGCTCTTTTTTTGTGCAGAGTATATTACATTTTTATCCTGGCATGCAAGTGATGCAAGTCTTTGACGTGTTCCATGTTCGTATACCCTACGAACATAAGATCATTTCACCCCTAAGGGAAGCAACTCTGCACAGCGAATTCCGACGCTTGTGGCCACTAGTCCACCTGTTCCCCTCTACCGAATAATACGAATCCAAGACGTTACATTTAGACATGCTTACACGGGAAGTGAACTAAACTCTTTTTTCAACCAATGTTTTCTGTCAAATATTCACGTTAGCATGTACGTATAAGATCCCACAGCTGCTTTACGCACTCAAAATAGACCCTGGAGTATTTTTCTAGAAACTCTGCTCTCACATATACGACTCCAGAGTCGCAACTTTGGGAGTTTTATTTCAGGAAAATTGACATGCTGGCCAGTCTTGCACTCACATGCCCCCAGTGACTTCCTGCTATGGATAAATGTGGCTACCACCTGCATAGCGCAGGACATCAATCAACAATCTTGTGTTTCCCAATGTTTGGCACCCTGACGTCACGATTCAGCATCAGCCGCCGTTCGGCTGGAGGAGGGGATGGCGCATCAGACATGAGGAAATATCACACCGCGCGTCATTGCACTCAACTGACATATAATTGATATCCCATGAATGAATCCATAACACAACAAGGCCCATGGTGGGATCTACTTTCACAATTTAGTGGATCCTCTTTTGTCGCCAATAGAGTAAAAGCCTCTTTTTTCATTTATTGTTTAACGCCGCCCGTGTGTTGATTAATTTCTTTTTTATTCCAGCCGAATAAGCCAAACCCACTGAATTTGAAGCTAATGACGATAAAGAAGAGTTATCATACCTCTATGTCAGAATGATAAGATCTGATTGTCCACATGATCTTAATAAAATACTGTGTAACCCGCCTTGGAGGGGAATAAATTCGTCAGAGGTGGAATAAATCTATTATACCCCGCCACGAGCAATACAGGCTGAACGTGGATTTCTGAGATGCAGAACAAGTCCCTTATACCCCGCTTCAAAGCAAAAAGCCGAACGTTTTTTCCGAGTCAATGGAAGTTACGTGACATAGCACAGGTTAACCTCAGCTTAATCGAACAGCTGTTTTCTATCAATTTTGAATTTGTGTTAATTATTTTACAATGTCACTTTAAAACATGTCGGTAAGATGAAGTCGTTGTAGCAGGATCATTTGGGGTATATGGAGTACATGCGTACTTCGTTAGGTTTTATATCACTCGCCTCCTCGTGGCATAAAATCTAACGCGGGTCGCATAAAACCCCTCCGGCTCGTGGTTTTAAACCTGACGCGGGACACATGAAACCCCATGTCAGCATCAAAGTCGGCCGTTGCTACGATGAACGGGACTCTTGTTCTTCAAGGGGAAACAGGTCCTGGAAACTGGTACCTGTCACTTGTCTTCTCAGTGGAATCACTGGACAGAACAGGTCGGTAGCACTTTAAACTTCTCTTCTGGTCAGGTACTGGTGGACAGTACCCCATGTTTGTCTCTGAGGGGAGCTCCTTGTTGAAACATGTCGACAGTACCCCGTGTTTGTTTCTAAGAGGAGCTCCTGGTTGAAACATGTCGACATTGGCCAACATATACATACAAACTGAGTAGTTGCTGCGAAACCGAATTTAGAATCAATAATGTTACATAAATAAGTTTAGATAACATATTTTTCGTTTGTCTTTGATGTATGTCTCGTTGGATGAAACTGTTTACCGACAGGCAATAATTGTATGGAGTCAGGAGCAATGTTTTGGGGGTTGAATACGGTGCCACATTAATATGCATTTATTATGTTTATTGTATATTATATCACACAGCTGAGGAATGGTGAGGTGAGGGAGGTGGCGCCTGTCCATGTGTCATTCATTCTCGACAGCCACACTGGCCACTTGGGTCCTTCTCGCGCTGTCCTGGTGATTCAACTATTGAACAACTGCATCAAGGACTGATGCCACGAGTCGTAAACAATGAGACTGCTTTGTGAAGATCGTTTTACTTGCCCTTTACAAGTCCAGGACATAAAGTTCTTCCACCACCGAATCCCTAGGGGGAAAGGCAGAAGAAATACCGAGTGCGTTAGTAGGGTTTAAGGCTACTTTCAGCAGTATTTCAATTCTATCTCATCCTCTCAGCTTTCTGGGAAAGGCTAGCCCAAAATGACACAAGCACTGGACATTTACGCTTGCTGAAACCTATGGTGATATGAAAAGCGGTTAAACGTCGCGTTCAAGATTATTGCAGTTACAAAGTGACGTGCACGCACGTGTGTGTGTGGCTGCTTGAACTTGGTGGCTGGTGTTGGTTTTATAGTGCTAGCCTACTGAGATACCATTCTACAGTGTAACATGAATATCCCGCCATACACAATATACCCACTCGAGCAGTTCTTGTTTTATCCCCTTAAGCCGAGCATCAAGCAGGGTAACAAGTATCATCTTTTAACGTCTTTGGTATGACATGGCCTGGGATCTAAACACCAGACCAGGAGGCTGCGGTGAAACCCGTGACCAAGGATTTCCTGCTGTTACTTTAGTTTTATTCTCATTACAATATGAGTAGAGACCTCCAATGTTAACTTTGATCATGTTATTCTTATCCTGATCTTGGGGTGTTTGGGAAGCAAATTACTTAAGCTCCTTGTCTATGAATCTTATATTTTAAACTCAACTCATTTTAACTGAAGGTTTTAGGTGTTCAGTACAGGTGATCCATTATTTTCATGTTTACAAAACTAAAATTTAAACAATGAATGTTAAAATTCTAAATATCTTATACTTTATTCTTTACACAAGTTGTGAAAATTTCCCCATCATAGATCAGCAGTTTCAAAGGGATAATAAATTAGGCGGGGCAGCATCAAACTACCATATTCTGTATTTGTAGCTAGTTACATACACAGTGCTGATCAATTTATATTGCCAAAATGTAGTCCACATCATAATTACTTCAGTTATGAAGGACCAAATGATCTTTTGCTTTTAAGCATCTATTGTGAAAATGCATCTGTGACTCAATATTTCTGTTTGTTTTATGCGTGTGATGACCTATATGTTTTCTTCAGATGTCACATGTACCGTGCTTGTTGAAGTGCACCCACTGTGTGTGTGCTCGTTCAGAGATCGGCCACATGGAAAGCTGCCTGTGATAACATTGATTCAAGTTGTAGGCACTGAGTGGAAGGGGTCATAAATACCCCTTTGAACTTCACAAGCTGAAGTTACAGTTTAACTTGGTAAAGCTAAATTGGGCAACCCCATCATCTTTACATGATACAAAGCCAAGAGTTAACATGTAGTTGGAGATTTGTTTTCACTGTAAACATGATTATGGCACATAGTGCAACACAACGATCTCAGCTGATGGGGTTTTCTGGGGATGCAGCAGTGACATGAAGCCACAAGCACTTCAAATGATGCAGAACTGAATCAATTCTTCAAAGGAAAAAAAAATATATTAAAAAATGTAATCCTCAGCTAATGGATAGGTTAAAGAAGCGCAGTCTTTGGTGTCTCAAACAACAAACACGTTCATTTACAAATCAGTCTTCTTTATTTTCCAGTCCAAAGTGTGGATGTACAAACACTTTATTCTCATATCCAACAGCCATGGCCTGACATATCTAACACCTACAGCAGAGTGACAGACAATGGCTCCATCTACACACCACAGTAACACAGGGGAGGTAACTGAGGCTGGCTTGTCTTGTGGCAGGGTCCCAGGTGGAATCCATTTTGACCAAGTACATTAACATCTACATCTAAAGATTAGATAGTTGGTCGTGAAAATCCACAGATCTTTTTCCCCCCACATAATACAAATTCATGCTGGATCAAACAGTGTATACAGATGAATTATGAAACATGCATACAAAATGAACTGAGTAAACAACAGATGGTCCATCAAGATTCATGGCATTTTCGGAATCTCCAAAAGAACCCTAGTTCACATCACCTGGGCAACAGACCAGATACCATAGACAAGCCAGTTTGCAGTAGTACCTATCCGCGTTCCTATGACTTGTTAGACAGTCTCCATGGGTTCCACCTAATACCTACATGATATTTATATATGTATATATACTTATCTACAATAGCAGCAGAAATAGCAGCAGATGCTGAAAGAATGAAGGGCTGTCTCCTCTCACAGTCAGGAGGCAGCAGCATGTTACATAGGAATGAACAGGTTAGGTCATTCACAGAAAATAATCCCAACTTCAATTTAGATTGGCAGCAAACTTCCTGTGTTCAAATCGGGCTGAATCCGTCAAATCTCCCCACGAAATAAGGCTCTGAACTGAAACTGACTTTGACTGAACCAAACTCTAATTGGTGGTTTAACCAGAACATTGGACTTGATATGGCAAGATTCAGACTGGTTTGGGCTGGTTTGAACCAATTTGAAGTGGAAACAGTCAGAATGAACAGGATTTGACAGGATACAAACCGACATACAAGGCGATCATGAAACTGGGTCTGGTATTCGAATTTACGATAAGAAACTGTTAGTAGTTGTATCACATGTCAAAAACATTGATGTCAGTTTGTATCGGTCAACCACGAAAGAAACATTTTCAAGGAAATTTGCAGCCAACTATTCCTTATTGTATTCAAACCTCTGATGAAGTTCATGGTAGGACCTTAGGCTATACTACATCAACAATCACTTTTATTCGTTGCAAAAATATTACTTTAAACAAAATACTTACATGTCGTGAGACGAATTATTTCATTAGTTATCCATAAAATGGATGTAAAATGTAGAACGGACCTAAGTACTGATCTCAAAGGAACATTACTGAACCATGTAAATACATTTGAATACACTAAGGATGTGTCAGATCAAAGGATGTCTTGGAATGTATATCAGTTATATGCTGTGCAAAAGAATAGTACATATGCACATAAAAATAAACAAACTGACTAGAACCTTGCAGGGATGGCAATATCTTCAGCGTGTATGCATCTACATAGAGAATTTCAAATCATGTCAAGCAAACATACATATTCACTTCATAGGCAATTAATCAATCAAGTACAAAATGCAATTCTTAGCCATAAATGGACTTGTGTCTGTTCAAAGATAATAATCAACTTACTGATAATATTATGATTATAAAATGATCGAAACAATAAAAGTATACGCTAGAAAACTCACATAAAAAAAGATCTATAAAATAAACTTTGACATTGCCTATGGGGTAAATATGTAGATAAATTTCATAAATAAAGTATATCGATATTAAGCTAAACATTTTGTCTCTGATATGTACAGCATACGCCTGATCAAAACGTGAAGTGTAATAAATAGGAAAAGTGATATTTCATATGAATAGTATCAATGTTATGAAACAATACACTGTATACAAAATGGTGGTGACTGTATTGGGACTATTTTCTGTTGAGGACTCATGACGATCAGTGCTTATCATACCTACATATGAAATATTAACGAAAGGACATAATGCTTAATTTGTTAAAATAATGATTTGTTTACTCTCAACCTCACAACAACAGTAAATACTAGAGTGTGTGGGACTGCGTTGGCTATTGAACCCATTACACAATTCTCTCACCATCACATCTCCTGAGAGGGTTATAACGTGGAAGCAAAGCTTGTCATAAACACATTACAAAAATTGCTGGGTTGTTTTAATTTCAAACACTGACCTTAACGAATCATCTCTCAATAACATGATATGCAGATTTAATACTTTAAAAAAAATCAACAGCAATTCTTGGTGGGTAGTGCTTTCTCAAATTTGTAAAAAAGCCTAAAGAGCCAGGAAAATATAAAGAACACTTAATCCTGGGGTCTTACTTTATTTACATCCCTGATATAAACTTTAAAAAAAAATAATTAAAAATTGATCTTAATTCCCTTTCTGTATTTCAATGGGCATAACAATCTTGCATGAAGCGTTTCCCCATCAACCTTAGAGGTGTCTCATCTCCTTCCTCCCTCAAACATGATTGGCCATTACTGCCAGTCCATACTGACATCCAAAAACCAAATGATGCGTAGAAAACGAAAATTTCGCAGGACATTATATTTGTACTATCCCAAAACTACCTGAGCTTTATAATGACAACAGCAGGGCAGTATGTTGGACAACCATTTAACCTTATCTGTTGAGTCAATATCTGCTTAGAAAAGAAGGTATTCTCGGTTCAGAGGCCGAAGGAATATAGGCGTCACAAAATAGTTGTTGTTACAACCATCAACAACCAATGGTCGGTCAACAACGTCGAAAATTATGACTTTTATACTTTTATACAAACAACAGTAGTGTGGAATTCAAAAATTCAAATAGATAAAGTTCGCTGAGATCGTCACTCCGACGCGGAGTGTTTTACACGATTTGCTGGTACTCTCCTGAAAACTAAGCATATGTATTTATGAAGGTATTAATGTCACATATAAAACTGTACAATGTCACGTGTTTGCTTGTGATAATACAATACTTACAAATGGTTAGGATAACACCAGGTTGCATTGATGCATACAGTTGCACCACAAAGCCATAACAGAGGAAACAAAGGGTTCTAGGATAATATCATAATGTGCATTCACTGCATCAATGTTTGGGAAACTTCTGAGTGTTAAACTCTGCTAAGCAGGAAACAGGAATGATGGGTAGCCACATGAGGAATCGCGAAAAACTTGTACACTTATTTGGAAAATTCTTACCCACGACTACTGTCGATGACCTATAAAAGTATCGCAGTGTCAGCTGGTCTATCGTACCACATTGATCTTAAAACAGTAAAACACATTCTAAAATATTGCATTATGGGAATCTAGTTAATGACCAATCAAATGCAGAGATTAAAAACTTTCTATCATTAACACATGCCCCCCCCAAAATTTTCAAAAAGAAAAAAGACGGGGATTGTCGTCTGCCTGATTTAGGAAAACGGAAAATAAATCGGACCATTCTTTGACTATTCTGGATAAGAATGATGCATGCATGTGTACGAGTTTGACCGAGTTAGATAGTAAGATATTTACATTGTGGTGATAGGTGTGATGGATAGCCCCCAGCGATGACACATGACCCAAGACAAATACCGCCCTCTACAAGCATCCACGGACACTTACAAAAGTCTCAACTTACGAAAAGCTGCGGCAAATAAAACCTGCAATTTGTACAGAGCTGAAATTTGGCACAGAAACCAACTTGCTAAAACAAGGCAGACATGTAGGTTTATAAGCGAATTGCGAGACCCCTTAATACCACGCCAACCAATAGTAGAGTGTATATATATATATACGTCGCACATTGGGAGACATTTCGTAGACAAAAGCTGAGTTGTATTTACAGTATCCTTTCACCCACAGACAACATGAACATTAAAATCATTGACTTTTCTACAATGGACTAATATTTATTTCACATGCAACAACATTATACACAGAATCTCAACCTCACGTTGTCACTTTCATATATGCCTTCAATCAAACAATATTCAACAATCCTAATAATGATATTAATAATATATATTTTCAACATCTTTGTACAGAAACCCCGTCTGTTGATGGTTGGTCGGTGGTGTAGTGATTTACTTTCTATTGTAGGGCATGTCACCGTTAATTGCTGATATTTTCTCTACTTAGTGAGCATGACCAACCTAGCTTGGTAAAAACAAACAATATGAATACTATGTACATTGCTAGATACATGGTACAGCGTGGTACTCTCATCAATTTTACTGTTAAATTATACATCATATCAAAATATAGAGAATTGGCTCTCTTTCGTGTTGATGTCAATACAGACCTTTAAGATGAAATAATGAAGTTTTACAAATGAGTCAACAGTGAATAGAATAATAGCAATAATAATAATAATCATCATAAATTGTTGGTAACAAAACCTATCATACCGTCACGTCTAGATGGTGTGGACTCTTATGAAGAGTAACTGGGTTTACCAACAAAACAAAACAAAACTGATTTATCATGTTTAAGCAAGGAAAGAGGAATTACCGTAATTGACGTGATTAACGCCCTCCCCTAACTGCCACGAATACCTCTCCCCTCCACCACTGGAAACTAGACATCAGAACCCCTCTCCTCCAACACTGGAAATTGGCCATCAGAACCCCTCTCCTCCAACACTGGAAACTGGACATCAGAACCCCTTCCCTTCCAACACTGGAAACTAGACATCAGAACCCCTCTCCTCCAACACTGGAAATTGGACATCCGAACCCCTCTCCTCCAACACTGGAAACTGGACATCAGAACCCCTTCCCTTCCAACACTGGAAACTAGACATCAGAACCCCTCTCTTCCAACACTGGAAACTAGACATCAGAACCCCCCTCCTCCAACACTGGAAACTAGACATCAGAACCCCTCTCCTCCAACACTGGAAACTGGACATCCGAACCCCTTCTCCTCCAACACTGGAAACTTGACATCAGAACCCCTCTCCTCCAACACTGGAAACTGGACATCAGAACCCCTCTCCTCCAACACTGGAAACTAGACATCAGAACCCCTTCCCTCCCAACACTGGAAACTGGACATCAGAACCCCTCTCTTCCAACACTGGAAACTAGACATCAGAACCCCCCTCCTCCAACACTGGAAACTAGACATCAGAACCCCTCTCCTCCAACACTGGAAACTGGACATCCGAACCCCTCTCCTCCAACACTGGAAACTGGACATCAGAACCCCTCTCCTCCAACACTGGAAACTTGACATCAGAATCCCTTCCCTTCCAACACTGGAAACTGGACATCAGAACCCCTTCCCTTCCAACACTGGAAACTAGACATCAGAACCCCTCTCCTCCAACACTGGAAACTGGACATCCGAACCCCTTCCCCTCCAACACTGGAAACTAGACATCTGAATCCCTTCCCCTCAATCTCTGCTCTTGCCCTAGTCACATATTTTCAGTATCTGAACAACTTGACAAATGGAAATTTCCAATTAAAAGTATTTTAGATGAAGTGTCAAGTTTACTTTGTTGAGGATGAAGTCAAAACCTTTGTTTTCCCGTATTGAGTGAACTATGATGTATAAGTAATGATAATTGATCTCTGCCATCCTTGAAACTATCTAAATAGCCACCCACTAGGCTCTGAGTTGCTTAAATACCCAGGACGCTAATTACGTCAATCACAGTATTCTGAACCAAAATGTGCACCATGGGTAGCAGGACAGTAGCAGCCATATTGGCTATTTGGTACAAGGTAGTAAAATGGAAGGTTGACATCCGTCCAACCAATGGTTTGCTACGGGCTCTGCGAGCTAACGTACAAAATAGATCAAAGGTCATTCTGACCTTTCTCGCACCACATGATCACAGAGGTTGGTTTTTCACCAATAAATATTAATGAGCATTTGTCAATCATACAACACTGTACAGGGTCATAACTGACAGGGATAGAAGATATCTCGCTGTGACTTTACCAACTTCCGTATAGACTTACACTTTACACAAGAAATACTTGGAAAAAAAATCAAATTTTCTACCTCATGGACAAAAAACAAAACAATTTTTTTTTAGTACGTACATGTACACATGGACTTTACCACAGACATACAAACACCTGGATGTTTCAACCACTAACTAAGCTACCTATTTGGACTATGTACAACGCATGTAAAGACGCCGTCTCTTAGTTTCGCTGGATCCCCATCGAAGCTGCGTCCATCCGTCTGTCCATCTGACTCGTCTCCATCTTTAGACTCAGGAACAGATGGACATACAGACGGCTGGTGATAGTCGGCGGTCAGTTTCCGGTCACTTGTTTCGTGGACAAGGAGTGCACTACTGGGTGTTGACCTATCCTATATGAAGGTTACTGTGCTTGCTGGTAACCTGGAACAAACCATCTCAACCTTAGACAAATCAACGTTCAACGTCACATCTTAACAAGGATAATAAAAAATTAAATTAAAATCACAAAAAATCATTTTTTCCGTTTTGGTCACATAATTGATTACTTCAGATATCAATGCTGCCATTATTTTTGAATGAAGCATTTTATGTGTATGTGTTGAATAAAAAATTCAATTTATAAATGACAGACTTTTCGACTCTGTTACTATCATGATATATTTGTATGTTACCAGGTGTAAAAAATTAATATGACCAGGAGGTATGAGCAAATTATCATGATTATTTGCACAGATATTAATGATAACGTTCCCTTAAAGGAGCACTTGTCTCGGAGGTCTGGCACTTGGACTCGACCAATATGATCGTTCCATATACACCCTCTTGCCTTCAGCTGGTGTTGTGCTGGCTCACATGTTGTTGCCAAAACTTTAACAAAACAGGCATTCAAGCCTTTTTTCAAGGAGACAAGCGCCCCTTTAAAACCAGTCCTCCACAATAACTGCTTTCAGGATAAGTAAACAGCATATAAACATATGCAAGCCTAAAAGACCATGCAGTGTCTAGGTAGCCATGCTGTCAGCTTAGTCAAGCATATATCTTTAAATTCTGAGTGAGTGAATAAGTGAGTTGGGTTTAACGTGGCTTTAAACAGTATTCCAGTCATATCACGGCGTGTCAGCTTAATGTGGGAGGAAAGCCCGAAGTGCTGCAGGTCTCAGACGTTTACCACTTCGGTGAAACCCACGAGCACGGGTATGGTGCTAACAAACCTAGAAACACCATTAGGGCTGCGACGATACAGGAAGGTCACGGTACGATACACATCTCGATATTCTGGTCACGATACGATACATATCTCAATACGCAATGATAAATAAAACAAGACTTAAAGCATGTCAAGATTTTGGAACAGTCAAAATTATTTTATAATAACGAGACTACTGAAGTTGTTGAGCTTCAAAGTGGAACTTTATCTAACTTTCCTTAAAAACAATTCAAAGTTCAAACACCAGAAAATAATTAATGTACTCCACCAGTGATACAACTTCAAAGATATTTGATGCAATGGTCGAAGAAATTGTATCTGAAATTATTGTTTTATCAGGAATGATATATTCCAATATCGTGTTACCTTAGTTGCAGCTTTTACTATATATATATTTCAAATTATAAGAACCACAAGTACTGGTACTGGTGATTGCTGTTGCAGGATATTTTTATGTATGGAACAATTTGATCAGTCACCCTAGGGACTTCCCGTGCTACATATATTTCGATTGCGAAAATGTTATGTTGACATATATTTGCGAAATTGACACAAATATGACTTTCAACGAGTCAAAGTATGGCATTTTTAATATATGTATCCATTCTCTAGCAACTAAAGTTCATTTCAATGTGTCAAAAGCGGTAATCTGCTGTATCTCTTCACACACGATTTCACATAACTTAATGAAAACAATATTAAATGAAACTTTGAATAAAATTAATAAAATATATTACAAACACAAGTCCAGATATATAATGAACACGTTTTAATAACAAGATAGTATAATAATGGTATTGAATTGCATACTTCAGTTCGGATTTGCTGACAGGTATTTCCGGTGTTATGTGCTTGCGGGGATCAGCTGATAATGTTTTTTGAGATGGGGAAAAACATCAGTCGGTGTAAAACCTGAGCTTATTAAAACTGTAAGTACGTTTTTGGGAGCCATGCGTTACCGCGCGCTATAACCAAGTTAGTGGTTTACTGAAAGGCACAATAGCGAGGAAAAGCTGTACTTAAGATTTGCGTTCCGTATCGTGGCGTATCGATAAATGGGCCCACGTTTATCGTATATCGTAACGTGGGTCAAGTATCGCGATGCATCGGAATATCGGTGTATCGTTTCACCCTTACCCACAATCATAGGTTTCTGGCGTCCCCAAGGGACGCAACTCTGCACAGCGAATCGCGGTACCTTAGATGACTGAGCCACCCTTGCCCCCCTTCAAATTCTGAAAGGAAACAGGAAGGGGGTTGGGGAGGAGGGGGGCTAATAAGCAGCATGCAGTGCCTAGATGGACAGACAGATGTACAGACAGATGGTTAGATAGTGCAGTATATAGAGTGACAAAGTCCTCAAACTCTCATATGTTGTTTAAATCTGCAGTATTCAAGATATATGAAATCTCCCTTTAAATAATCCGTCCTGGAACAGACAAACCAATGGTTCTTATCACATGTAATGTGCCATGGTCGTTATAAGATCACATGACACCGCCAACCCGGTCCACTCCATGAACCCGAATAACACCAGGAACACGACACCTGACCACCCGGTCCACACCAGGAACCCCGAATAACCCCAGGAACACGACACCTGACCACCCGGTCCACACCAGGAACCCCGAATAACCCCAGGAACACGACACCTGACCCACTACATTAACCCAGAATAACAGGAAGACGACACCTGACCACCACCTCCCTGTATATATGTATGGCATAACTTTCTTCCTTGCTAACAGAGATAAGGGGCCTTGAACAAAACTGATGTCTAAAGTGTTTTATGAAAAATGAATCTTATACTATGCTTTTTTGCAACGATTAGTCATCATACCCCTGACCGATAGTGAAATTAATTTGACTCTGAAAAACAAACTTCAAACAAAATATTTTCACTCAAAAAAATTGGATTTCAACAGTGTCAGACATATTATCGACCTGGTCAAAACATTTGACAGCTGAAAATATTCAAAGCTCTGACAGGGGAAAATTTTCACTTAAAAAAAAACAACATAAGTTTTTCTTGCCATTTTTCACAGTCACATCTGATTTGTGAATCCCAAGCGAAATCATTGCCAAGTCCATTGTCACATCCCTTCTATTAATAGTCTTTATGTCATTAAATGAGAAAAACCTGTCCAACACTTACAAAAGAAAATCTATTTATGCAAGGGCATATATGTTAACTGGAAAGTTCAACCATTTTAATCTATCAGATTAACTTTTTGTTGATCTGCTTTCGACATATTAATCTCTTATTCTCTGATCTTCAAGGAAATGTAGGACCAGAAAATTATGTTAGAAAGGACCACAAACTAGGAAGATTGGGTCGTCAGCCAACCGGCCACACGGGGGATTCCAAGACCCATCATTACGTTCGCGACAAGTTTTCCGAAAAAGATAATTACCCTGGGGAAATAATGATTAAAAAAATCCTAACAGGTCACATTAAATCAAATTTAAGTTGTACGAAGGGCAGTGAGAACACTAGAGGTTCCTTTGTGGAGATTGGTAAGGTTAACAAATCGTATGCGGATGGAATTCAACATTTTTCAAGAAGTACCAATCTTTCAAAAAACCAAACAGAATGAAGTTATGAACATCAGAAACCCTTCATTATTCATTTCTTCTTTTTTTGTGACCGCTGTTTTACAGGTTATTAGTTACATCCATTTGTCAGAGAAATGTGACACGATACGCTTGTAATTTGTTTTGACAAAAAACCATCATCTAGATTGAATTCCGAAAAATTCTCATAAATATCATTGACATTTTGCAGGGTTCTTAAGTCGTTGATTTTAACAACCTCTCATATCATCAATACTTAAATGAAATTAAAGTATACCCTGCATTCAAAATGACTATAACAAATAAGATTTTGAAATTAGCTTCATATCAATTCAAACATATGTGTCGCTGTATCTGCAAACATTTTGAAAACCTTTCCAAACTTTTATCGACTTTAGAGGCATAAGTCTAATATTACTTTCAGAGCCCACTTAAAACAAATTGACAGTATAATTCATAAATACTGTCGAACTTCCTGCCTTTTACTGCTATCATGATGTAATAATAACCACTATAGAGAATAGTGAATCTCGTTAAATTCTCTATCACCATTCTCGCCCAGTGATTCAGGACAATTATTATTTTATGAAGAGGGAGCTGATGAAAACAAACATATTGGGACTGGGATACAGTCTACATGGAATCAGTAGACTGGTGTTTCTAGACTGGTTGCCTGTCCAACCTCACTCAGCTCAAGGCAATAAACTAGGTGGGGATCGATATCCGATGAGACGATAAATGTTATAGGGAGTTTAATACTATCTGATGCACAATAAACCTAGCACACTGAGTTGGGGCCACTCTGCAAGATTTAAATGTCACCGAGATTGATGGCAGTTGAGAGGGGATGGCCACGCCTGGACAATCTCCACCAGCTACCACTCATGGTCATTTCCAGAAAACCCTTGTCCGGAAAAAAATAAACTCGCTTACTTTTTCATCGATTTCTAAGTCTAGCATAGCTTGTAGCACAGCTGCTATCTTGTAAAGTGACGTTTATTTGATATAATGTATTAATTGGTTCTGTGTATTGTATACACCATTTTATTAGTTTATTCAATGTAGTAGAAATCTGGATGAGTGGTAACAGATTACTTTTCGAATTTATGGAAATGACTTGCCACGCTGTTTCTTTTGTTTGATGTTACTGTTCACATCGTTACCTATGTCATAACTATGCTGATGGAACTATTAATTGGCAGTTGTTTTAGCCTCATATGTGGTAGTGACATGATTGATAAACGAATAATAGCAATTTGAATAGCCAATAGATAATTATATTAAAGTTATAGCATAATCAAATGCATTCATCAAGCAATTACAATTGTTGGATGTATTTTGAGAGACTGCCACATTATGTCAAGAAAAGTTTTGAAGTTATTTAATGAAATAACTTCTCTTTCAAGTCAAAATCTTAGAGCTAAAACTGACGTAAAATCTTCAGAAGTTATATTGATTAATTTATTGACTTACAATTTAACACCTCCCCCATAAACTTGTAAGGCACCTTTTAACTCTCCATCAGTGAGTGAGTGAGGCTTTAACTCTGCTATTAGCAATATTCCAGCAATGTCATGAAGGATACCAGAAATGGGTGGAATTGAACCCAGGTCTTTGGCATGATGAGCAAACAGTTAGG